AATCCCTGCGACGGGGTGAGCTCCCGTTGCTCGGTCCCTGCTCCTGCCAACCTAGCAGTTCGAAAGCATGTCAAAGTGCAAGTAGATAAATAGGTACCGCTCCGGCGGGAAGGTAAACAGCGTTTCCGTGTACTGCTCTGGTTTTGCCAGAAGCGGCTTAGTCATGCTGGCCACATGACCTGGAAAAACTGTCTGCGGACAAACACCAGCTCCCTTGGCCAGTAAAGCGAGATGAGCACCGCAACCCCAGAGTCGTCCATGACTGGACTTAACGGACTGGACTTAATGGTCAGGGGTCCCTTTACCTTTTCTTACAGGCCTCTAAACGAAGTAGTAAGCACACAGCATTTTTTAAACCTCAGTTGCTTATGTTCAGTTATTACTCTTCTTCAGTTAGATGTTACAAGTTTCTAGACTAGCTTAGTTTATTTCGAGTTATTTCACTTCTGTTCCTTAATTTAGTTCTTACATAGGTGTCACAGCTTAATACTTTTGACAAGCCCACTCCTTTTTTTTTAATAAATTTTTTTATTTCGTTTCTTTCCATAGTTTTATACAATCCAAACAACACAAGTGCAGTGAATACAAGAAACAATTTTATATAAACCATTCCCTGGACTTCCCCACACCCTCCGGAACTGCGTTCTTTAAATTTAATAATGTCAGCAATTTGTTACCTTATTTCATACCTTATTGTAACTTTCAATTGTTATGCATCCAAATTCAATATATTGTATCTTAATTTTCATACTTTTAAAATAAACATAACATGTTCTGTTCAAGTTGTCTCCTTTTCTGTTTTATCGCTTATTTTGCCATTTACTTAATCATATTTGCTAAAGCATAGCATTTCCCAATCGTGCACTAACTTAAGATTCATACAGCTTGTAATGTTTTTGCAAATAATCTTTGAATTTTCTCCAGTCCACCTCAATTGTTTCTTCATCCAAATCTCGGATTCTGCCGGTCAGTTCAGCTATTTCCATGTAGTCCATCAACTGCGTCTGCCATTCCTCCAGCGTGGGCAAATCTTGTGTCTTCCAGCTCTTTGCGATGAGTATTCTTGCTGCCGTGCTAGCATACATAAACAAGGTTCTATCCTTCTTTAACATTTTCTGGTCCACCATACCCAGCAGGAAGGCCTCTGGTTTCTTGGGAAAGGTATACCTAAATACCTTTTTCAATTCGTTATGTATCATTTCCCAGAAGGCCTTCACTTTTGGGCAGGTCCTCCAGAGATGGAAAAATGTCCCTTCTGCCTCCTTACATTTCCAGCATTTGTTGTCAGACAGGTGATATATTTTAGCTAGCTTGACTGGGGTCATGTACCACCGGTATACCATTTTCATAATGTTTTCCTTCAGGGCACTACATGCCGTGAATTTCATTCCGGTGTTCCACAACCTTTCCCAGTCTTCAAACATAATGTTGTGTCCGACATCCTGTGCCCATTTTATCATGGCAGATTTAACTATCTCATCCTGTGTATTCCACTTAAGCAGCAAGTTATACATTCTCGATAAAATCTTGGTCTTTGGTTCTAACAATTCTGTCTCTAGTTTCGATTTTTCCACCTGGAAACCAACTTTTTTATCCATTTTAAAAACCTCTTGAATTTGAGCATAGTGTAACCAATCTCGCACCTTGTTTTTTAATTTATCCTGGCTCTGCAACTTCCAATTGTCTCCAATTTTTTCAATTAATTCCCAATATTTCGGCCAGTAGGCCTCCATATTGAGCCTTTTTCGAGCCTTGGCCTCCACCGGTGATAGCCACCTCGGTGTTTTGCTCTCTAATAGGTCTTTGTATTTCGTCCAGACTGCAAAAATTGCTTTTCTGACAATGTGGTTTTTAAACAATTTATGAACTTTGACCTTGTCATACCATAGATATGCATTGTAGTAATGTAGACATATTTAGAAAAATCATTCCTTGGTCAAGTAAAAGCATGTGGCCTTGTGGGTACTTTGTCAAGCCGAAAGGACCCTGGGAAAGGGAACTGTGTATCTTTAAAACCCAGACTCTTTGGCTCCTTGCCATGAGAGCTTTATGGGAGGAAAGGGGTCCTTGATTAATGGAAGGGTTCACACTGAAGCCTTATTTACCTAGGGATCCATTAGCCACGCCATCCCCTGGACCTCGGAGGGAACAAAAGTACCAGGAAAGCAAAATCTTCTTTGGAGAAAAAGAGTTTATTGAGATCTGTGCACAGAGACAAGGTCTGTACTCAGAGACAACCAGCTGGATAGTTCCTAAAAATACACTGGCTGTAAAGCAAGACACTTCAGCAGACTTTCTTATACCCCCGGACTTCCCCAATCGGCTAGCAAATATTGCTTGCTAAACACATTTTATTGCTTGCTAAACATTCCTGTCTTTCTGCTAAGCCAAACACTCCCTCCCACCTCCTTGTACACGTGTCTTATCTCTTCTTATTCTTGCATTACTTAAAAGCAGAAGTAAAGCAGGAAACATCTTGCTAGTGGTTTTTCGGTTAACAGCAGTTTCTGGCTGGGCAGGAAGCGACCTTCTGACCTGTAGCTAGCATCAGCAGTTTCAAGTAGCTGGTTTAGGCAGAAAACGACCTCTTGACCTGTCTGTTTTAGACTCTTGCAAGCTACTGCAATTTTGGGCTGTTTTTAACCATCCTAGCAGAGTGCAGGAATTTACTATGTGTAGATAATATTTGAGAGCAACAGAATAAAATATTGAGAGAAACCTTTCCCATCTCCCTTTACTCCGTCCTCTTCTTTTGAACAATCTATTACTTAGATTCGTTCTGGGGTAGGGGTCTATATTCTCTCATTACAGCAATCACGCGAGGTCCCATCATGCGAGACATCATCTTTCCCATCATATGTTGCATGCTTTGTATCAAGCAGGGTATACAGAAGCAGAAAAGCAATAGAAGCATTATTGGGCCTATCACCATAGTAAATATTCTCCCCATCCATCCACCTGGGAAGATGCTATCCAACCAAGATATATCCCAGCCCTCCCAAGTTTGTACAGGGACATGTGCCACCTTTTCAATGCTAGCCGCCAGATCACGGATAGCCTCGCCATGGTCTGAAATGTTGAAACAACATGCTCCATTTCAGCCATTTGTAACCATCTATTGTAGGAGTTATGGGCACCCCACTTAGTCATCAAACGGGAAATGTCGGCAAGGGAGGTCGGGGGACTTTTTCCTGCCTGTGCCAATACACATGTGGGCTCTCCAACTAAAAAGAAAAGGAGAATCATCAAAGGTATAGATGGATTACGTTTCTTCCCACAAATACGATACCGTTCATGCCAAGAGAAATACGAGAGCATCCATATGACAAGGGCGGTACATATCATTCCTACCCACCAAACCCAATATCTCCATGGTTCCTCCCACCAATATTCAGGGGGTGTGCTCATTGTTGAAGAGCCCACTGATATTTGTGCCCGACTACCTGTTGAGCCTCAAGGATGAGAGCCCACCGGTGAGCTGATGCTCCCACTATGTGGGTCAATTTTTCTACTAACCCTGTTGGGTGGATTGAACTCTCGTGCTGCCTCCCTAGTGACCAGAGCATATGGAAGCTGAAATCCCGGGGTGGCAATTCCTACTGGCACTTGTTTAGTAATTTCAATGCACACCTGGCTAAGGCTCCCACCCCTGCAATACTTGCATTAAGATAGGTTCCGTCCCATCTATCACCTGGGTTAAGAGTAGGACCTGGTCTATCAAATGAGGTTGGTACAGTGCTCTACCTTCCAGATAACAGTTGACTACCCTCCCACAACAGCAAGAGCAGTCCAGAACTAGATAGATTTCGATCGTCTCTGCAACTTCCCGTATGAGCACTATCCACGCGTGCTGGACAGTGGTGTGGGAGAGGAGTCACAACGGGCAGTGGGGTGTCTCAATACGGTAATCTCATCAAACCCCAGTTTCCAATAGCCAAAGAGCACGCCATCTCTTACCACCGGCAAGACGAACCAGTCGTAGCAGAGGCCAGCAGGCCAATAGGGTTGGTATGGTTCGGTAGGGTCAGGACAATAAGACATAGAGCAAGTCAATAAAGAAAATAAGAGAGAAAAGAGAAAGTCTTTGTAACTGTCCTTGTGATGATTAGTCGCAGGATCTCGTTGCCCGTGGCCTAACGCTTTTTCCTGGTAGCGTCAGACACAAGGTGATGATCAACTTCAGAGGGTCAGCAGGATTTCTCTTGCAAGTCCAGACACCCTTCTTCAGATGCGTGTGATGTACCCAGGGGATCACCTCGACTACTTTCACTGCAGTTGGGGATGAGGGGGTCGCCAGACGCTGTCACTTAGAGGAACTGGTGAACCGGCTCAGCGAGACTGCCGCGGGACTGCAGGTGTACGCTCGAGGGAATACCTGGAAAGGAAGCAAACACACACAACAAACACAGGGATTGCACTTGTTCTTGGGTGATGTGATCTCCCATCTGCCCAAACCGGCGGGGATGTCTCGGACGAAAGGGGTTGGCCTGCCATATAGAAGTTCAAAGGGTGATAGTTCTCAGTCTCTTGGTTGGCGCACAGGGCACATTTTGGGATATAGCAGCAGTTAGTTATAGCAGATAGAATATTCTCCCAAGGTGTGCTTTAGCAGCTGGGCCTCCCAAATGGGTGGACTCGTGGTAATTCTTTACAATTGTGCTGGCCAGATGTTGGGGCACAAAAACACGGCTGTCTGGTCCTTCCTGGAGCGTTGCTCCTTCTTGGCTGGTCCACTGCTGTTCATCAAGGGTGTAACGTGGTTCCACATCGTCTGGAGTGAGTTCTGGTACCAATATCAAAAGTCCTGGTGGTGCCTCTAAATTGGCTGGAGAACAAATGTCTACGTTGGGGGCGCTGCCTGCGGGCGCCCCTCCCATCCAATTCTTCACCGTGCGTAGAGATATCAGCCTCTGGAGTGATATCAGCAAGGCAGTCGTCACTGGAGGGGATCTTCAGGATGCTGAGACACAGTCCAATCTGAAGCAGCTTTCCCCACTTGAATGTGGTGGACCCAAGGGGTGGTGCCAGCGACCTTCACAGCTGTGGGTGTGAAGAGCAGATGGGCCCTTCCAGCACGGTTGCAGTGGTGCCTGGGACCAGTCTTATCCACACCTCGTCACCTGGCTCAAACTGGTCACGCAAGGAGTTCGGGCCTGGGTTGAGAGAGAGAATCTCGAGAGAGAGACTGTACATAATTGTTCAATTCCACATCTTGAGCAGGGATAGGTGAAAGCATGCACACATAAGGAACCGGTCTCCCAAACATCACTTCAAAAGGGTGACAAGTGAATACGTTTCAATGGGAGACTACAGACTCTAAGTCCTGTTCATCCTTTCCTATTTTCCAGAACTTTGGGGCCTATATGCAGTACCCACCATCTTCCTTCTTCACTGGCAACAGTGGGGTGTTTCACTGTGATTGGCATTGTTTCAAGATTCCATGTTGAAGCAATCGCTTCAAATGCACCCACACTCTTTCAGCTGCCTGTCGTGGGATGGGGTATTGGTTTTTATCTTTCGCCCATAGTCCAGGGTCAACATCATGAAGCAGGCTAACAGGGAGGATTCCCTCCTCTTCTTTTACCATCATCAAGCACCAATGGTCTCTCAGGGGTATTTCTAAAGAAAACTCTCCTGCTGGTCCAGTTGTCATCATTACTTCCCCCATTGGTTGGAAGGAAATCTGGGCTTGTAATTTTGTTAACAAGTCTCGGCCCAATAAAGAATGGGACACTCTGGTATATACAAAAAAATTGTGCTGGACTACTTGGCCACCCAAAAACGGGGCCTTTTGTGATTTACCTGTGGCTCCAATTATATTAACCACTTGGTTTGTGGGTTTTGTTACAGGCACAGGTAAGACTGAGTGGGCAGCTCCCTTGTTCACCTTCAGCTACCTGTAATAAGGTAGCTGGGTTAAGGGCTGTGGTAACCTGAAACTTCAGGCGTGAATGTAATAACAGCATCTGGCACTTCCTCTTGGAGTCACACAGCTGGTGTCCTGTCCAAACGTGAATTTATCTGCCTTTGTGAGTAGGGTAGCCACTGCCACAATCACTCTCATACGGGGGGGGGGGCAGCCTCTGTTCTGCTGGGGTTAGCTTCTCTGACAAGTATGCGACAGGTTGCTGCCAATTTTCCAGTTTCTGGCATGAGACTCCCTTGGCTAACCCCCTGGTCTTCATCTGTGAACAGGGTAAAAGGCTTCTTGGGGTTTGGATGCCAAGCACTGGGGCTTGTTGTAATGTCACTTTGAGATCCTGAAAAGCCTGCTGCTGTTCCCTGCCCCATATAAAAGGATCCTTCTCTATTCCCCTAGTTGACTCATGCAGGGGCCAAGCAATGCTTCTGTAGTTAGTAGTGAGTCCAGGAGATATTGTTCATCATCATAAGTGGGATTATAGGTTTAAAAAAAATCCCTTCAAACAATTTTATGATCTTTGCTGGATTCTCCTCAAAAGAGGGGTTCTGATTTCTCCAATTACAAACATCTGCACTTGAAAAGGGTATATGCTGGACCGTGCCTCCGCTTGTCCAGCTGGGACAGGGGCTGGTGGATCATAAACCCTCCGAAGGGGCATTTCTCCAGCTGCCTGATCCTTCCTGGTTTTCTCATACTGTCTGTGAGACATAACTCTCTTCGCCGCCTGTCCCCACTTACGTTGCCATCTCTTCCTCTTTTCAGGGGTGCAGCATTCTGCTGCCTCAACTAACAAGGGGCTTACATCCAACTTCTTCCTCAGATGGCTTTACAAACTCCTTTAGTCTCTTTTTCTGTCTTTCTGTCCACATTTTCTTTCCTTGATTCATATCATCTAGTGTCTTCCTAAACTCTTCCTCATCTTCCTCTTCTTCCGTCTCACTATCCTCCTTCGCAGGTCCTCCTCCCCCTACACCAGCACCTCCCTGTGCTTCTTGATCTTGGCCTGGGGGGGGTGTTGGAGGGGCTGTTGGTGGAGTGTAAGGTGGTGGCTTAATCACTCCCCCTCCTCATCTTCTGGGTCTTCTAACACCAGAGGCTTCACTGTACAAATCCTGTTCTGTGTGTTGCTGTCACAGCAAGACTTTAGCCATGGTAGATTCTTTTTTTTTTTTTTTTTTTACATTGGTCTTCCATGTAGAGATATAGGGGATCTGGTCTGGGTGGACATTTAATATATTTTGCCACAGGGGGTTGATTTGCCACAGGGGGTTGATTAATTGCAAATCAAAGCCATGCAGTTCCCTGGGTTGGCAAGTCCACCTCACATAAAGTTTTGAGTCTCTGTTTTTTCAATTTGAATCATCACTCTTCGTGGCTGTTTTCCAGTTATTTAAAAAGCATTCCAGAGGAATACATTGGCTTGCTCCAGACCCTATTTTTTCAGATACTCCCCTCCTAACCGGGTTTCAAAATTCTCTCACACTCCACATGCTACATTTTGTCAGAAAATGCACAACCCTACAATCGCTCGGCCAAGGGGACACTAAGCCTTGGCCCTCATTCAACAATTCATCCACTGGAGTATCTGACACACAACATGTCAACAAAACACTCAATTCCCTCTGCCCCATTCCCTTTCCCAAACCTTTACCAATTCCTTTCCTGGTGGCATTCTTACTGCCGGGCACACTACTGCCAACTACCAGGTGAGGCTGATCAGGCCTCTGGCCCTTTCCCTCGGGCCCCTAGCCCTTTCCTTCGGGCCCCTAGCCCTTTCCTTCGGGCTTACCTTTCTCCGCTGCGGACCTGTCCCCTCGGCGCCGTTCTGTCCTCTTGTTCTCCCTCAACTAGATGTCTCCGCTCCAGGACGGTGTGGCAATCTCCCCCTACAAACTGGCAGGGTGTGCACCGGAAATGCGAACGCCGATCGGAGCTGTTCACCTTGGTTGAGCCTGGCCCTCCGGTCCGTAGTGGGGAGGGGGCTGATCCCGGACGAGCCCCCAGAGAGATGAAGCCTTATTTACCTAGGGATCCATTAGCCACGCCATCCCCTGGACCTCGGAGGGAACAAAAGTACCAGGAAAGCAAAATCTTCTTTGGAGAAAAAGAGTTTATTGAGATCTGTGCACAGAGACAAGGTCTGTACTCAGAGACAACCAGCTGGATAGTTCCTAAAAATACACTGGCTGTAAAGCAAGACACTTCAGCAGACTTTCTTATACCCCCGGACTTCCCCAATCGGCTAGCAAATATTGCTTGCTAAACACATTTTATTGCTTGCTAAACATTCCTGTCTTTCTGCTAAGCCAAACACTCCCTCCCACCTCCTTGTACACGTGTCTTATCTCTTCTTATTCTTGCATTACTTAAAAGCAGAAGTAAAGCAGGAAACATCTTGCTAGTGGTTTTTCGGTTAACAGCAGTTTCTGGCTGGGCAGGAAGCGACCTTCTGACCTGTAGCTAGCATCAGCAGTTTCAAGTAGCTGGTTTAGGCAGAAAACGACCTCTTGACCTGTCTGTTTTAGACTCTTGCAAGCTACTGCAATTTTGGGCTGTTTTTAACCATCCTAGCAGAGTGCAGGAATTTACTATGTGTAGATAATATTTGAGAGCAACAGAATAAAATATTGAGAGAAACCTTTCCCATCTCCCTTTAACACCTGGGCTGGTGGTGCGAATCTCTGCCTCCTTCCCGGAGGTTGTTTGTTTTCAAATTGCTGAGAATTGGGGATCTGGTTAATTTCCACAGGTGGGAGGAAGATCCTTTGATTAAGGGTTCAAACCTAAAACTGACCCAGCTGCAAAAGAGTGGGCTAATCCAATTAAGACTCGGGATTGGCCAAAAGTTACGACGCAGAGTCAGAATTGTGGATAAAAGATCAAGGGAATTGCTGACTCTTTGCTCTTTGCCATGGCTTGATGCCATTGCTCTCTGCCATTGCGTTGCAATTTGCAAAGATGCCCGGCTGTAACTTCCATCGATAGCCGTCGTTATGTCCTTTTGAAATGGAAATTCTCAATCAGCTCCGTTACGCAACAGCTTGAAAGGACTCTCACTATCTTATCTGTGGTTCTTTGTAGGTATGTAACAGCTAGTTAACTATGCAACGTTTTTATTTTCTTGCTTGTAAGTTTCATAAGAAAGTGCCTGTTGGTTTCAACATGTTTTCAGTTGTTCTTTTAAAATAAACTTTTAATTCAGAACCTGTTTGGTATTTGTGCCTTTTCCGAGGGAATAGCTAAATCCAAGCCTTCTGCTTAGTCACGCTATACCGATTGAATTTCTGCCTGCAAGCCTGTGGATGCAGCTTGTGAGGAAAGGGGGATTGCCAGGTTAATTGGACACACTCTTCTCCCTGGGTGGTGTCTTTGGGTTCCCCTGAACAAAAGGGAGTGGTGGCAGCCCTACCGGTGTGATTTCGGCCTGTGTTTGTAAAAAGTAACCCCCTCGCCAACCTACTCCAGAAACCTGGACTGGCCGGAGAGCAGAGTCGGGTGATGGAAGGGTAGTGTGGGCGAGTGGAACGTTACTACATGTTGGCAGCTTGGTGGGATCTAGAACTTCCCTGCGGAAAAGCACTGTAACGTTTTAAAAAATTTTTGGCACGTATCTTTTGTGGCTTACAAACGGTTTGTTATTTTGGATAGAGATAGTCAGGATGGAACAAAGTTTGGGACAATCTTTGAAGACTATTGATCAATGGGGAGTAGTGGGAGAAGTTAGTTCCCTACCGGTGGAAACCAACCCCATGAGGACTCCAAGTCCTAGTGAAAAGTCCGCGTCCTGGTTTTCCGATGGGTCCCAGGAGGAGCTGGTGGATTCCAGTATCCCGGAGACGGTTCGGAGGGGTCAGCAAGAGACCTGCCGTGCGGATGGAGGGAGGGATGCGTCAGAGTACCAACCCCTAAACCCTCGTGAGGAGGTGCAAGCAGAGGCAGCTTCTGCACATCCTGGGGAAAATTTTCCTGTTTACACAGAGTCTAAAGAGATGGATTTCTCGAAAGGACTTGATGTGGAGTGGACACGTGATCCAGTGGACGGTGGATTCCGTTCCCGAGAAAAGTGTCCAAAAGTCGGTGAGGCTATTCAGATGGCACCGCAGTACAGCTACCAAGGTTTGCCGCAGCAGCGACAAGTGATGACGGGGAGAGAGTACAGTCGAGAGGCGTATGGGCCAGATGTGCGCAGGAAGGTGGAGCAGCCTTCGCTTTGCCCGGGAAAGGTCTACTCGCCCGTCGGTGCTCAACATGTGCGCGTGCCAGTACGCCGGTACGTGACGGAGGAGGAAGAGTTTTTTCAAAGACCTCAACGTGACTGCGTGGCGACAGACCAGCAACGCCCGGATGGGTGGATGGCGCCTAGCAGAGCTCCAAGGTATGAACCTGTCCCAGTGCGGGGGGGAACCCAACAACAACCGCCCCCCCCAGGACTGACTTTAAATAACCTCAATTGGAGGGTGTTCCAGAAATATCAACCTCCTACCGATGTACTGTGTTATCTAAACCTTTTTGAAGTGACTTGCAAGGACATGGGGGTCGCTCCAGAACTTTACATGGTGGTTTTGCGCTCCCTGGTCTGTGGGGATTTGTCAGAATTGATGGGACATCTTCCCCAAGATGACTTAAATAACTATGAGAAGTTTAAAAAACTAGTTATGCGGCGGCTTGGATTACACCCTGAGCAATATAGAAAAGCCTTCCGAAAGGTGGAGAAGGGTGGGCTCACTGACAACATAGCCGTATTTTCTGCAAAGATGGCTCAGAATTTCGAACTGTGGCTGGCAGCCGAGGGGGCTCGAGATGCAAAGGATATCAAGCAGCTCCTGTTGATTGAGCAGTTCATGCGATCATTGTCCCCTGAAATTGCTAGCTTGGTTGCAGACCAAAAGCCACGTACTTTGGAGGAAGCCACTACTTTGGCTGAGTCCTTTTGGGTTAATCGTGCCCAAAGGATTCCAAGAGGGGGGAACAATGCTAATAGACCTATGATTGGGTCTGGAAGATCTACCCCCCCCAGCAAAGAACCTAGCCGTGGGGTTCCTACACCTGCTAAAGACTTTGTTGCCACAGGGGGAGAGCGTTCAAAGTTGTCCCCAACGTCTGGACTGTGTTTCTTGTGTAAGAAGCCGGGACACGTGAAAGCAGCTTGTCCCCAGTTGGGAAATAAAAACCCCAAATCCTCACGTCCACTCCCGCTGTGCGAATGATTCAGCGTCCGGAGGAAGATTGGGAGGAGGAGCAACTAAAATCCGGAGTGGAGCAGTGTTTGACTCGGAAGGAGGAGGGTGGGGTAACACCTAAAGCTGAAACATTTGCTGCCCCAATAACTGCTGTTAATGTGGGTCCGGTGAGTGCGGGGAGTAATTTTAAAACCCCTCATGTGAATTGGGCGAAGTTGGAGTTTTCTGCCCCTATTGAAGTCAATAAAACTGTCGTGGAATCCTATCGGGACACTGGCTCAGACATTACAAGCGTGTCTAGAGATCTGGTCTTGCCTAGCCAGATGCAGGCAAAGCCTCTGAAGATTAGTCCATACGGGGTAGAGGAGATTTTTCAGCCAACAGCAATAGTTCCCCTTAAATACAAAGGCTACAGCGGGGACCATTTGGTGATTGTTCATGACCCACAAGTTTGCAAAAGCCCCGTCTTGGTTGGGAACGATCTTGGGTTTCAAGTTTACTTGCAACAACAAATCAAGGTGAATCCAGTAACTGTAGCATCTGCCCCCACCCCGATTCAGGCAGGGACTGACTCTGTTGAGCCTGAGACAGGATTGGATGGAAAATCCGGAGGGGAGGGAGAGTTACCAATCTTGGATGCGGAACCCAAAAAGGACTTTAATGCCTCTGTCGAACTGGGGGATTTGGGTCAGAAGGTGGGAACTCACTATGATAATCTGCCCAATGAGTTACAAAGTGTCCCCTTGAAAGCAAATGTTTTGGAGAACCTTGTCCCGGATAGGGAGGGTGGAAGTTTGGCGCCTGATACTATAATTCCCAAAACTACTGAGACTGTTGAGACTGTAACAACTGAGAAATTGATTGGGAGGAGGGTTGGCTTGATACGTATTGCCACTCCTTGTGTTAATGAGCCCTGCTCAGCGTCTGACGTCATCCCCAGGGTTCATCGAGTTGTTGTGCCTTCTTTTCAAAGTATGGACTCTGTTTCCGTGACTTTATCAAAGGACTCAGTTTTGTCTCCATGGAACCAGCCTGACTTCCAGAAGAGTAATCCTGGTTGTGGAACTTTAATTCCCCAGCCTGCAACTGCTGATTTGTTTATCTCCGAGGGTTGTATGGGGGAACCTTTTGATCCAGGTCTTAGACCCCAAGTTAGTGAAAGTTTTCTTTTGGGTGTAAATGTTTTGAAATCTGCAGTTCCAACACAGCCGCTTGCAGAAAACCCCCTAGTAGCACAAACTGTGAACTATGCAAGTGTTTCCTGTCAGCCAAACGCTGAGAGGCAAGCAGAAGGAGGGGGGTTAACTCAACCCAGTCAAGCAGCTGTAAGAAGTTTTGAGTTTTTTGATCATTCTCTCCTAGGTTGCTGGGAGGCTGCGGAAATTCCACCTTGTGAGACTGTGTTTATTTCTGTTGTGGCTAACCAAGAACTTTTTTTCCCGCAGCTCAAGGACTTTAAAGACCCTGCTGATGTGTTTATTGTGTTTCAAAAGATGTTTTGTAATGCAAATGTTTGTGTCAAGAAGAAAGTGAATTTGGTGGGTCTTTTACGGAATTTCAGTCCTAGGAAACAGGATGATGATGTTAAGAGCAAAAATGTTTTCAGGTTTGCTTGGAGTTTCAATTTGCCCAATCCCTGTGCTCAAAATTTGTTGGGTATGCTTAGAGGAAAATGGGAGGGATTGGAGGAACTTAAGCTGATTTTTTCTGACTTGTGGTCAAACCGCCTTAAGCATGTGCAGAGTGTTTTGGCCCATTTGCAAGATCCAAACCTGATCGAGAAGCTGGGATGTGCGAGATTCATTACAGTTATGGATTTGACCAAAGGGTACTGGCAAATCCCTCTGTCCCCTGAAGCTGCGGAAAAGTCTGCCTTTACTACTCATGTAGGCTTGTACCAGTTTAAAGTGTTACCATTTGGATTGCGAAA